CCGATTCCGGTGGTCTGCCATCGGCTCCCGGCTCCTTCTTCGCTGTTTTCCGTTTTCCGTTTTCCGCTTTCCGATTCCGGTGGTCTGCCGTCGGCTCCCGGCTCCCTCTTCGCTGTTTTCCGGTTTCTGCTTTCCGTTTTCCGGTTTCCGGTTTCCGGTTCCGGTTTCCGTTTTCCGTTTCCCGTTTTCCCGTTCCGGTGCTCTCCCGTGGTCCCTCGCGTCTTTCTGCGCCGTTTTCCTTTTTCCGTTTCCGTTTTCCGATTCCGGTGGTATCCCGTCGGCCTCCGCTCCCCTCTTCGCTGTTTCCCGTTTCCGTTTTCCGGTTCCGGTTTCCGCTTTCCGTTTTCCGTTTTCCGATTCCGGTGCTCTCCCGTCGCCCTCCGCGTCTTTCTTCTCCGTTTTCCGTTTTCCCTTTTCCGTTTTCCGATTCTTGTCGTCTGCCGTCGGCCTCCGCTTCTTTCTTCGCTGTTTTCCGTTTTCCGTTTTCCGCTTTCCGATTCCGGTTTCCGGTTCCGGTTTCCGCTCCCCCCCCGGCCCAGCGGAACCATCTCCGGTGATGACCTCTGGATCGGAGCCAGGGCGTTAGCGCTACGGGGGGGGGGCGGGAGGGGGGGGGGGTAAAATGCGTTATCCCTTGGGTGGGTTAAAACATGGTCTCAAGAGCCTCCAAAGAGCCGCCCAAAGAGGGCCCAAGCCTCCAAAGAGCCTCCACTCCAAACTGACACCCCCAACGTCCACAGGGCCAAAGAGCCTCCAAAGAGCCTCCCAACTGACACCCCCCACGCCCAAGGGGCCGCCAAAGAGCCTCCGAAGAGCCCCCTCCACGGAGCCTCCAAACTCACAACTCCCCGCGTCCACAGGGCCTCCAAAGAGGGCCTCCAACGCGCCTCCAAAAAGAGCCCCTCCGTGCAGAGTCGTTGTGCAGCCGTGCTGGGCGCCCAACCCGCAGCGCAGAGCGGCCCTTTTTGTCTGGCCGCGGCGAGCCTCGGCCACGGCCGGGGGGTCCCGACCTGGACCTCGGAGCCACGGCCCGCACACCAGAGCCTCTCGTCTGAGGCCCCACGTGGCCCCTGCTTCCAGCGCCTTGACTCTGCGGGTGGGCGAGGGGGGGGGGGGGAAGCCGACCAGCCATAACTGGGGGAGCTGTGGTCCTCATACCCTCCTGGGGGAACCCATCGTATCGACGATCTCTCGAGAGGGGTGTCGAAATCGATGGGTCCCCCAGGGGGGTAAGGACCACAGCTCCCCCAGTTGTGGCTGGCCTGGAAGTGAGAAGGGGACCGCCGTCACAGCCTGGGGATCTGCTGGCCTGGGTCAGCCCAGACCCAGGTCAGTCAAGCCTTGCAGAGCCCCGCGAGATCCTGCAGTATCCTGGACCCAAACCCGAGTCAGTGCGACCCAACGTGGCCCTGCTTCTAGCGTCTTGACTCTGCGGTGGGCGAGGGTGGGGTGGCCACGGCAAGGCTTCGGCCCCGCGACGGGTCCGCCGATGACCCGGGTCATCGGGCCCGCCCCCCCCCCTCCACCCGATAACCGAAACTTGCCGGTTGCGCAAGTCCGAAGGGGGTACGCAGTGCTGGTGCCCGCGGGCGTATGCGGGGCTGCCCAGAGCGAAAACATTCCGTTATCGGCCAGCACCTCCTCCCCCCCTCAGATGAGTTATCGGCGGTGACCCCCGAGGGAAGGTCTTCTCAGAAGGCTCGAAAGTCCCCCGGCCTTCCGAGAAGTTTCCCGAGCCTTCCCCGAACACGCAGGAAAAACCTCTCGTAAGGCGCGAGGGGGCTTCCGTTGAGCCCCGCCGCCTCCTGAGAAGGCCTTTTCCTTCTCACTTCTCCCCCATCGCTCGCCGACGAGGCGCACGCGGCGTTCCTCTCGGCCGCGGCCCGCGGCCCTCCTCGCTCCTCGCTTCTCGCTTCTCGACCCTCGACCCTCCTCTTCCTCCTCTCCTCCTCCTCCTCCTCGCTCGCCGCCGAGTGACTGTGCTGGGCAACGGGACCGTCAACACAGACGGCTCGGGATGAACAACAACTGGTCCCGGGGTGAGGTGTCGCCGAAGGTCCGAGCCCGCCGCCGTGCCGACCGAGTGCCGACGGGGAGTGCGCCTCACAGCGCTCGGAAGACCCGGCCGCGAGCAGAGCAGAGCAGAAGTACCACACGCCCAAGCGCGTGGGCAGACGACAGCCCACACCGACTGCGGCCTACCAACAAAAGCTGTCGAGTTATGTATTGTGACTGCGCAGGAGTAGGAGGAGGAGGAGGAGGAAGAGGAAGAGGAAGAGGAGGAGGGGCAGGAGGAGGAGGGGGAGGAGGAGGAGGGGGAGGAGGAGGTCGAGGAGGAGGAGGAGGTCGACACTTTTTACCCATCGAAGAAGCCCAGCGGCAGAAAGCGGCAGTCGGGGGGGAGGAGGGAGGGAGGGGGGGAAGGGGGGAAAGCAGCCCGCGCGCGGGCTGCCGGGGCACCGAATTAATCCGGCGGCCCAGGGCGCTGCACCCACCGCGCCCGCATGGCCTCCCGCCAGTCGGCCTCGCGCCCGCCAGCCCGGACCGTGGGCAACAGCAGCAGGGCTGCCGCCCGCGGCGGCAGCGCGGCGGCCCAGCCCGCGCACAGCGACGCCGCCAACCGCGGCCAGGTGGGCGCAGACGCCCCGCAGCGCATGCAGGCCACCCAGCCGGGGCCTTGCGCGGCGGCGTGGAGCTGCCAGGCCTGCCCCGCGAACAGGGCGGCGCAGCGGGCACTGCCGCCGCTGCCGCGCGCGTTGCCGGGCTGCGCCAGTGCTGCAGCAGCTGCAGGCGGGGGGCCCTGCGGCTGCGCGCCTGGCTGCGCGCCGAGCACGCCCCGGCGGCCGCGGCGCCGGCGCGGCGGCCTGCGGGCCCGAGGCGCCACGCCTGCGCTGCCGTGGTTCACCTTCAGGGCGGCCAGCTCCACCTCTGCCAGCAGCCGCTGCGCGACGCCCAGCGCGCGCAGGCGGTTGTCCCGCCCGGCGACCAGGGCGGGCGGCGGGAGCCGCGCGCGCGCGGCTGCGCCCGCGAGCCGGTCAGCTGCTGCGTTGCCAAAGCGGTCTCCGTCAGCCAAGCCTCGCGCCCGGGCGCTGGCTGCGTCGAGATGTCCTTTAATCCATCGCGCGACGAGGGTCCCGCTCTGGCAGTAGGGCGCCAGCAGCTCCCAGACCTCGGCGTGCGCCCATTCCGCTGGGTTTGTCCCCGCCCGGAGGGCCGCGACCCCGTTGCTGACGAACCGGGAGTCCGTGATCACCTCCACGGGGCCCGCGGCGAGGCTCAGAGCATGCAGGGCGGCCGTCAGTTCCGCCCTCTGCGCCGTCTGGGGCCCGTCGACCGGCCCGCTGCAGTCCTGGGTGCCGTTGGGGCCGTCGAGCCGTAAGCCCCAGCCTGCCCTGGCCAAGAGCGGATCTGTCGGCCGCTCGCAGGCGCCGTCTGTCCACGCACGGCGCCGTGGCGGGCGCTGCTGCGGGTCGTGCTGGCCGGCGGGCAGCGGCGGGGGCGGAATGGGCACGCGGGCGCCCTCGGCCAGAGCGCTGAGGACCGGGCCCTCCGAGAGGGCGCCCGTGCAGGCGGTTCCCGGCGGCAGGGCCGCGCGGAGGCCTTCCGGGCGAAACCCGGTGCCGCGCAGAGCAGTCGCTCGCGCCTCCTGCCAGCACGGACACCGCCAGAACCGGTGCTCTGGATCCTCGTCGGCCACCCGGCAGTGGGGGCACAGCGCCGGTTTGCCCCACTTGGCTGCCACCGACTGCGCGACGACGCCGCCCGCAAGCACCGTGCGCAGCGCGCCCGCCAAGTCTGGCGCGAGCTTTCCTTCCTCGAGCAGCCTGCGCGTGGCCCAGCGGTCCACCCCGCCAGCGAGGTGCCCCATGTCGCCGCGGCGGGCGGCAACTGCGGCTGTGCTCGCGTTTCCTGCAAGGAGTGCTCTGCGGGGCGCCACCCCGCCGGCACGGCCGGGACGCCTGTCCAGCTTTCGACGTCGTGCCCAAGCCGGAGCTCCGCAAGGCTGCGCACGGCCGCCGAGATCGGCCCATTCTGCCGCCCGTGCCCCGCCGCGATGGCGCCGGCCGCGCTGCGCCACCGCTGTGCTGGGAAGCGGCCGCGGCGGATCGCCTTCGCGATGTGCCAGAGCGGGGCGATGGTCGCCACGGCAGCCGGGTCGAGGCGCCAGCTGGGGCTGAGGACGCCGAACACGACCTCCGCGGCCGCCCGGAAGCCACCGCGACGACATACCGCGTGCCGCGCTGCCGCGCGGAGCCCCCGCAGCTCGGCCTCTGGCGGGCGCCCGCACGCCGCGCCGTGCAGGCCGGCAGCCGTGCCCGCCGCCGCGCCCAGCAGGCGCCGCTGGCCGAAGCTGACGGGCAGCCTGGCGATGCGGGCAAAGCGGGTTCTCGCGTCAGCCATCCGGCCCCCCGCTACGGCACTGCGCCTGGCCTCGCCTGCGACGGCGACCACCCCCAGGTCCCGGATGGTGGTGCCTGCTGCCAGCGCTGGAGTCTGCGCGGCAAGCCAGCGTCGTAACTCGCTTGTGTTGGCGAACTGCCGGCTTTTCCTCCGGTTCAGCCCCCAGCCCATGGCGGTCTCGAACTCCAGCGTCACGACCAAGGCGCCCTGGACAGCCTCGGCCGCCTCCCCGGCCTCCTCGGCCCCGGCGCGCATCCACAGCGTGAAGTCGTCTACGTAGATACGCCGGCGGAGCCTGTCATCCACGGCCCCCGCACGCCGGTGCCATGGAAGCGTCAGGACGCTGAGGAAGAACACTGCTAGGGCGCACCCTGGGAGGAGGCCGGAGGAGGGCGACCACGGCACGCCAATTGCGCGCCCGATGCGAATGCGCCGGCGGGCTGTGTATGCACTGAGCGCCGGCTTGACGAGCCAGTCCGGCAGGCCCGCCCGACGCAGCAGGCCCGGCGGCGACGCCAAGTTCACTTGGTCGCATGCCTTGCACCAGTCGAGGGCGGCTCCGGCGATGGATTCGGACATCGCCTCCGCCGCTTCCAACTCTAAGGCAAGTTCCCAAGCCAGCTCTTCGGCCCCCAGTTGAACCTCTGCTCCAGCCCAGCTCAGCCGCCAGCGCGCGAAGTCGCGGGCCCGCCCCGCCGCCCACAGGCGATACAGCATCGGCAGCAGCCAGATGGGCCGCCTGTCCAGGGCCCCCGCGCCCCCGCCAGGCTTCGGCAGAAGGAGCCCCTCTGGTTCGACCAATTCGTTTGGCCACTCACCGACGAACTCCACGGCCTCGAAGAAATCAGCTACCCAGCCCAGCAGCTCCTGGGGCAAGAGGCGCAACTCTGCCACCGTCCAGCCGTCGAGACCCGGCTTCTTCCGCTTGGGCATGTGGCGGAGCAGCCAGCTGATGTCATCTGCCTGGGCGGGAACGGCGGTAGGCCATCCAGCTCTTGCAGCCAGTCCTCGCCCAAGGGAGGGACCACCTGCCGCTGCCAGAGCTGCCGCCAGGGGCCCTCATAGAATCGAAGCTTGGCGGCAGGCCCGCCGCGTAGAGCAAGCAGCCAGGAGCGCCGTCCGGGCGCGGAGTTCGGCGCCACTGCATGGGCCGCGGGGTCGGGCACGAGCTCCGCGTCCAGCGTGCCACCGCCGCGGATCCACCTGTAGAGGCGGCCCTGCGCGTTCGCCAAGGACTCGTCGACCCACCGGCGCCACTCGAGTTGCCTTCGCTCGCGTGCCGCAGAGCGGGCCGACGCCCAGTCAGCCTCCGCGAGCTGCACCAGAGCCTCCGGGAGCGCGGCGTCCAGCTGCACCGCCGCCAACCGCGGCTCCCAGGCGGCATCACCCGCGTCCGCGGCCCGCAGCGCCGTGAGCGTCTCCCCTGCCACGCCTCTCGCCGCGACGCTGCCGCGGGCCATCGCGTGTCGCAGCCCGCGCAGGCGCCGTAGCCTCAGCAAAGCCGCGTCTGCAGCCGCATCTGCCGCCTCGCCGCCGCCTCCAGCCGCAGGAGCCCGCTCCGCGCGCAGCACTGCAGCCGCATGCGGCCGCTCGGGCACCGCAGGTCGCCCCTGCCGCGCCGCCAGCCACGTCCGCATGGTCATGCTGAGCACCGCCCACGCCGCCGCCAGGTCCTGCGCCCTGAGCGCCTCGCGGTACGGCGCCTCGTACTGCGCCACCACCGCCGCCGTGACATCCCGTGCAACTGCTGGGCTCCAGCCGTCGGCGGCAGTGTCATCGAGGGCTGGGACCGGCTGCCGGACCCACGCCTGCTCGGGCGGGCTGGCCCGGAAGGTCACCAGCAGCGCCGCGTGCATGGCCAGCCCGAGGTCCCAACGGATGCTGACTCGATCGACCATGCTCATGGCCTCGGCGTTGGCCAGGATGTAGTCGAGGCGGGAGGGGGTGCCGTGGGTGGGCACGCAGGTGGGCCCTGCCGCGGCCAGCAGGTCGCGCCAGCCTGCCATGGCCAGCACTCCCGAGAGGCCCACGGCCTCCAGGCTGCAGTTCAGATCCCCCACGAGGAAGGCTGGCACCGCGCCGAGGCCACGCAGCCACTGCAAGCCTTCGAGGATCAGGTCGGCGTTGCGCTCCTCATCGCACCTACCGCCCGCGTAGCCGTAGCAGTTCATGAAGTGAACGGCCCGGGCCTGCCCGAAGTAGATCACCATGTGCTGGAGGCGCCCCGGGTGCCTGCACGACACGCCCAGCGGCGGCTCCGCCCGGACCCCGCAGCGGCCTGGCCGGTGAGCGACGGCCAGCAGATGATCGCCGTCGTGCTCGGGCCCCACCTGGAGCCGCAGACCGCGCGTCCACGCATCCGCTGAGGTGGACGACGCCTGCCGAGCTGGGATGCGGGCCTCCTGCACGCACCATGCATCGGCGCCTGCCGCCAGCAGCCCCCGCCAGCTCGCACTCCATCGTGTCACGTTGGCCACTCCCACTGTGAACACGTCGTCTGGGTGGGCAGGCCCGGGGTGCGAGGCTTCGCCGACGCGGAGGCCCCGCCACGGCCACCCTCGCCATCTGGCCGTGGCATTGCTCCACGGGGAGGGTGAGGAGGCAGGGAGGGGAACGTCGTCTCCTCCACCCTCCCCCTTCCTCCTCCTCCCCCCTCCTCCGTGGAGCTGGCTGCGCTCACGCGCCGGCCGCAGCGCCCCGTTCGGGGCTCCGCGAGCGGCCACGCCTGGCCGGGCTGCCCGGCGGCGAAGAGGAGGCTCGCGGCTGGCCGATGCACGACCGCAGCGTGACCTGCCGCCTGGCCTCCGCGGCATGGTGTGCGGCAGCGATCTCGCGCCAAGATCTGGGCGGGGCTCCATCCGCATCGCCGCGGGGTCCGCTGCCGGGCGGCACCGCGCCGGGCGCAGCGGCGGCTTCGGCGCCTGGGCTCCCTGGCGGCGCAGCGCCCAGAAATGCGGCGGCAGCTGGAGCGCCTGGGCCCCCGGCGGCGTTGGGGGCGGCGGCAGGCGCAGAGGCGGCGAGACCTCCCGCTGCCGCCACCGCATCGCCTGCAGGGGCCGCCGCAGCGCCCCCACCCCGCACCGCAGCGGCCACCAGCCCGCGCAGCTGCTCGACGAGCAGCGCGGCGTCGCCGCCGCCTGCGCCGCCGCCGCCTCCGCGCGCCTGCAGGACCGCGGTGGCGGCCGCAAGGGTATCGAAAGCTGCCGCGACCCCGGCCTCTGTGAGATCCGCCGCTGCTGGCGGCGCGGGTGCTGGGGTGCCCTCCGCCTGCACGGCCCGCAGCGCCGCCTCGGCCTGGCGGAAAGCCTGCTCCGCCTTGGCCGCCTCCGTCTCGAAGTGCACGACCGCCCGCTGTGCCTCCGCCAGGTCCTCGCTGGCCGCCTGCAGCCTGGTCGCAGCCGCCCGCTGCGAGTCCGTGGCCGCCTGGACTCGGATCGCCCACGGGCGAGCGGCCTGAGCGGCATGCTCCAAGGCCTGGAGCTGGCGGTCGCACTCCGCCAGGTCCGCCTCCGCGCCGTAACGCTGGGCTGACGCCCGGCGTTCGCGCCAGTAGCGGAGCTCCCGTTGTGCCGGGCTCAGCTCGGGCGCGGGCGAGCCCTGCTGCAAACCACCGGCCTGGGGCGGCTGCATGGGGTCGTCGCCAGGCGCCGCCGGGCCGCCAGGCGAGGGCAGCAAGCGCTTCACCATGTCCGCGTACGAGGCCGCCCCAGCCGCCTCGCCACCTCCACGACGCCGCGGGCGACGCGGCGCCTCCAGCTCCGGCTCCACCGCGCGTGCCGGCGTCGGCCGCTTCGCCGCCGCCCGTGCAGCGTCCGCGATCCGCTGCGGCGCCGGCCGGTCGCAGCGCTGGCAGCGCACGCGGCATGCCCAATTGTCGGCGTGCCCGCACCGACAGCCCCAGCATGGCTCCCGTGGCCCTGGGAGTACTGCTGGGTCAGCCTGCTGGCCGCCACGCGCCGCCCTGCCAGCCACCTGCCCGCGCCCGCCGCCCCCGCGGCCGGCCGGCATCCGCGCGCGGATTACCCTACACGCGAAGCCCAGGCGCCGAGGGCCGGGGGTGCTGCTCCTGCCCAGCTGGCTCGTGAGATGTGTCACTTGAGCCAAAATGGCTTGAGCCAAAATGGCTTGAACCAAAATGGCTTGAGCCAAAATGGCTTGAGCCAAAATGGCTTGAGCCAAAATGGCTGGAGGAGGAGGTCGACACAGCATCTACCACAGACCTTCGCTAAACTGCGGACCCGCGAATGCTCAGCAGTGTGGCTGCGAGGCCAGCTCCAATCATCCACCGCACCCCTCACCCCTTCCTCTCCCCAAGTCCCCGACTTGGCGACTTTCGCAGCGTGGTTCCCTGGAGGTCCTGTCCACTCCCGAAGGGCAATCACTTCATCCTGAACAGGCTCCGACCAACCCGCGACGCGAAGAGCCTAGCCCATCCCGCCTCAAAGATCGACCACTGGACATCATCTCCAGGGGCGCATCTTGACCAGAACTTCCAGGGCGGCCTGAGAACGCGCAACTCACTGAAGCTTTTGGTCGTCCCCATGGCGCCCAATAGCGTGTCCAATAGTGCACGCAATGGACGTGATGACTCTCTCATACGGCGCCATTGGGCGTTATTGGGCGCCTTTTGAGCGCTGTTCGGCGCTACTGGGCTCTATTGGATGTATTGGTTGCTATTGGTCCCTAGCCGCGTGCCCCAGATAAAAATGTCCCCCCTTTTCCCCTATTTTTAACCCCGGTTCAGTAAGATTTAACTGTGGAGAGGGACGCGGAGGCCGAACTTGATAATCCACGGGGGGAGCTGCGAATCGAAGTTGCTACCATATCATGTCGACTAGCAACATCATCAAGAACGCTGAGCATGGCCATGATAGTCTCACTAGACCAGCTTCTTCTATCACGACCGTGTGGCAGGGCTGTGGGATTCTCACCAATTCAATTTGCCCAAGTCACGAACGTGCGGCAGAGCCGTCAGTTTCTCACTTTGTTCAGCCGTTCCCGAGTCAGGAACGCGTGGCAGGGCAATGTGGACCGATTGGGTTTTGATGCTACATGCGTTTTTCACGCAGGCTGAGCATTGGAGTTACTGTTTTAGCGCAGCCCTCATACGGTACGTGGCCTTTCCTCCCCTTCCTCCTCCTCCTCCTCCTCCTCCTCCTCCTCCTCCTCCTCCTCCTTTGCCCCCGCAACTGCCCAGGCCCGAGCTCCCCCGAGTCTCCAAGACCCCAAGCTTTCGAGCCTCCTCGAGGCGCCGAGCCTCTTCGCCCCAGGGGCAGCGATAGGGGGGATAGGCATAAGGGGACACATCGATCCCCAATCGCCTGCGATCGCAGGCGAACCTGCCCAGGAACGTGCGGATTCAAGATCGGGCGCGCATCGCCGATGCATCGGCGATGTATCGCCGATTCTCAAGTCGATGTTGCCCCACCCAATGCCTATCCCCCCACATCGATGCCCGTGAGTGCGTCGCGAGCCTCAGCCATGTCCCAGGCCGCCGAGCGCGCCCAGGGGGCGACCCAGACTGTCGCTGCCTGCAAGGACTCGCGAGCCCGAGCTCAAACGAGATTCTCGAGCGCATGGCCAAGCAGAGCGAGAAGATCCTCGACCAGCTGTCCGTCATCGCGGAAAAGACCGCAATTGCCGGCATGCGCTGCTGCCAATCGGGTGCTCAAGGCACTGACGCAGCAAGAATGACGGCCTGCTTTTGCAAGGCAGACAGCGCCTTGTGGTCAAGCAGCGCCCAGCAAGCCGTCCTCGAGATAGCCTGCTGCGGCGGTTCTCTCAAGAGCATCGCGCACGGGCGCATCTTCAACGACAAGGACAAGAGGCGCGCCGTAGCTGGCGGTGGCGTTGTTCTACAAAGACCTACGGTGAGAATGGCGCACGCCTCTGCGATATCCTCGAGAATCACGGAGAGCCGCCCGAAAACCTCTTCTGGCCGATGCCGAGTTCAATCGAAGATGCTCGAGCTTGCCAAGAAGGAGGGCATCGAGCTCGGCGCCGAGAACGCCCGGCGCCTCACCTTCGGCTCCTACACCGAACGCGTCGGCATGGCCCTCCCCGACATCACCTCCGAGCTCCTCCGCCTCCACGGCCTCGTGCTGTCTCGATCAACATGAAATTCGAGCCCGTCGAGAAGCGGGGCGAGGAGTTCCCCTCCGGCGCGAAACCCGATCAGCTCTTCGAGTTGGCCCCCCCAAGGCCGAGCAGTTCGTCACTTGGCGCCGCCAGAACGGCGCGGTGAGGAGCGACGACCGCGCGCGAGCCGCCGCGCAAGCGGTCGTCGAGCGGCGAAGGGGCCTCAAGCCCACAACCGACATGACCTACGAGCTCCAGGAGCGGAACTACCAGGACAAGCGCCCCAAGCATGACTGCGCAAGCACCGACAGGCCGCGTGACTTCGACGCAATGGTCCTCGACCGGCGCGCCAAGATATGCATTTCCAAGTGGTCGCCGAGATCCGCGCCGACTACGACAAGCTGACCAACCAGCACGGGCCCGAGAAGGGCCATGCCGACGCGAAGGCCAAGCCAGAGGCCGAGAAGTCCGCGCCGAAGGACGCCCGAGAGCCGAGCGGCGGCGAGCGGCGAGCGCCCGGCGCGCGGGCGCCCCGAGCCAGGCGCCCCCGTGCTTTTCGCCGCGAGGGTGCCGCGCGAGCGTCTCGAGGCACGCGCTCGAGCCCCACCTGCTTTTCAAGCTCCAAGCGAGCGTCCGAGCACGCGCGAGCGACGTTCCAAGCTGCGGGGCGCCGCCCGCCCCCTCTCGCCGAGCGACCCTCGACCAAGCATGGAACAATCGAGCGGGCTCGATCCTGCATCCTTGGATCAAGGGCCCGAGATCTTAAGTCTGAACATCTTCGAGCACCTTGGATCCTAAATTCGAGGGTCGCCAGGCTTGGACTCACAGATCTCGGATTCGCGATCCGAGGATTGGACGGTCGAGCCTCGGCGATCGACGATCGTCGCCGTCCCGTCGTCAGGCCCAGGCCGCCACCAAGGAGGCTCGATCCTCGGATCGAGGAACCGAAGTCTTGATTCCGAGCAGCTTTGAGCGCCTTGGATCCTAGATCCGAAGATCGCCGCGGTTGGACTCGAATATCTCGGGTTCGCGATCCGAGGATTGATGATCGAGCCTCGGCGACCGTCGATCGCCTCCCTCGCTGTCCTCGGGCGCTCGGACCGCCGTCGAGGGGGTTCGATCTTCGGTCCTCGGATCGATGGTCCGAGATCTTGGTTCCACGCATCTCTCAGCACCTCGGATCCTAGATCCGAGGGTCGCAACGCTTGGAAAAGGATATCTCGGGTTCGACGTCCAAGGATCGAGGATCGAGCCTCGGCGATCGTCGATATCCCTTGTCGCCGTCCTCTGGCCCAGACTGCCATCATGCAGGCTCGACCTTTCATCCTCGGATCGAGGGCCCGGGATCTTGATCTTGAGCATCTGCGAGCACCTTGGATCCTAGATGCGAAGATCGCCAAGCTTGGGCTCCAGGATCCT